CTCACTCTGTCATGGACAGTCTTGTGGTACTCGTTGACACTTCCAGCAGATGATGGTCATTCCTGGGGGCTTTGGACATTTTTGTTCTTTTTTCTTTCTTTTTTGTCTTTCTTTTGTTCCTTCTGTATGTCTTCCATCTGATGCCAAGTGTTTCACAGAAATAAAACGGAGAATTTCAATTTCTGAGGATAGTTTCCATAAAATGAGCCCAATCCTGAAAAATAGAAACATCTCAATGATTTCGTGTGTATCTTTCCTATATCTTTCCCATGTTTTCCCTACATCTTCCTTTATCTCTGTAATTATTTTTCTTAAAAGATAGTTTTGTAGCTGTCTCAAAAAGTCCCTCAGCGTATTGCTATGACTGTGTCAGTCTCCCTGAAGGTTACTCTCAGAGATTCCGGCACAAGATGGTCAACCCTGGGGCTTTCCTTGGTTTTGGCCGATAGATCTAATTGTTGTTGTTTGTTTCGATTGTTTGTGGGTTTTTTGCTGGTATATATCTCGTATAAAGTCTGTATATATTTTGAAAGTTTATTTTTGTAGCTGTCTCAAAAATCCCACGAGGCTCAGCTCATTGCAATAACACTCTCAGTCTTGCGGCACTCTGTGAACCTCCGCGGACTTTGGCCGACGTTACCTCTTTGTCTCTTTTGTCTTTCTTTGTCGTTTTCAAATCTATTGCTGCAGCTGTCTCCAAAAACAGCCACGAGCTCGCAGTAATTCCATTTTCCACGTCTGTTTACTCTCTGACCTCTGGGCCGACGGTTCCCACATCTGGGAGGTTTGGTAATTCCCAGTCTGTGATTGGCAGTTGTCGCAAGCGGCTGGAGAGAGAGAGGGAGAGAGAGAGAGAGAGAGAGAGAGAGAGAGAGAGAGAGAGAGAGAGAGGGAGAGAGAGAGAGAGAGAGAGAGAGAGGAAGCAGGGAATGTTTCTGAGTACTGTTTGGTCTGCTGAGGTGGTTTTAACACATGTACATGTAGTCCTTGTTGTAAAACGTCTAGAGCTGGCTGCAGTTTGTGGATGTGTGTTCTATAAATAGATCACGCCTTGGGACACACAGCCTGCCAGCCTGTTACTCACAAAATTGTTCTCCCACGTCCTTCCTCAGGTACACGTTGGATACTTTGAGGCCTTTCTGCGTCGTCTCATCCGCTTCGCCAAGACAATCCCTGGCTTCAAAAACCTTCCACTTAACGATCAGTCACAGCTCATCAAATGTAAGGACACGTCTCTCTACCTCACAGTCACACTCACACACGTCTCTCTACCTCACAGTCACACTCACACACACGTCTCTCTACCTCACAGTCACAGACCTCTCTCTACCTCACACTCACACACATCTCTCTACCTCACAGTCACAGACGTCTCTCTACCTCACAGTCACAGACGTCTCTCTACCTCACAGTCACAGACGTCTCTCTACCTCACAGTCACACTCACACACACGTCTCTCTACCTCACAGTCACAAACGTCTCTCTACCTCACAGTCACACTCACACACGTCTCTCTACCTCACAGTCACACACGTCTCTCTACCTCACAGTCACAGACGTCTCTCTACCTCACAGTCACAGACGTCTCTCTACCTCACAGTCACACTCACACACGTCTCTCTACCTCACAGTCACACTCACACACACGTCTCTCTACCTCACAGTCACAGACCTCTCTCTACCTCACACTCACACACATCTCTCTACCTCACAGTCACAGACGTCTCTCTACCTCACAGTCACAGACCTCTCTCTACCTCACAGTCACACTC